TCTACAACAACAGGCCCAACACGAACAGCTGCAATGCAGCTCTGGAAGCCCCAGAGAGGACAGAGGGTCCAGGAAACTCTTGAAACAAAACACTTTAAAAAGCCAGAGGAATGTGTCCAGCATCCCAATGTGGGCTTTCAAAAATGCCTGAGCCACGAGGGATTTATTTTTTTTCTGAAGTTACTGGGTTTTTTCATAAACACCCTCAGAGCTTTCTGAAGTCACATGGACCTTGCTGGACAACCCTGCCACACTTCCCAGGGAACAGCACCGGGCAAATCAGCGACGAATTACAAGAGACACCAGAACAAAGTAGGAATTAATGGGGTTGACATCAGCTGGAAATAAATCTTTTTTTAAGGACAGTCACATGTATCCCATACCTGCTCAGTTCAAAGCTACAGGGATCAGAAATTCCACTCTGATCCTGCCACAAATGTGCATCCAGACATTTCTGTCTTCCCCTCTGCAGCAGGCATGACCTCCAGGCCAGCCCACGGCAGCTCACACCCCTGGGGCACAGCAGACCCCCACAGGGAAAGCAAAGGAAATGGTTTTGGGAGGAGATGCTCCGTGCCAAGGGCTGGCAAGCAGGAGGGAGCTGATAATTTTTAAACTTCTGTCCAAGCATCTGCTGGCAGACACGAGAGCACAGCAGAGGCTCTGCCGCCCCTGCTGTGCAGAGCAGCAGGCAGCCTGCTCTGGCTGCAGAGCAGCACAGAAAATTAATTTCCAGCAGTTATTTGTGCTCTGGCCAAATAACCCAACCTTGTGTGTGAAAGCCAGAGGAGAGCCACAGGACACCTCCAGCTGCTGCTGCAGATGCGTTCAAGGGCCAGAGAAATCTTATTCAAACCCCTCTCACTCCAAGCGTTCCAAAAGCAACCAAAAGCCATTTCTGAGGGTCTGGGCCAGCAGCAGCAGCCCTGAGCAGGCACAGGGGCTGCCCAGTGCCCAGCACTGCCCAGGCTGGGTGCTCCCAGCTCCCCCCCAGTCTCACAGACTCCTCACTGGCAGAGGACACATCCTGTGTCCGTGCCAGACCGTCAGTTTGCAGAGTGGTGTTTCTTTTCTGCGTACTAGGACAAGATTGATTTTCCAAGCAGGTGTCAGGTTAGGGTTAGCTTAACAGCCTGATCTGGGTAATGTAAGAAATACAGCTTTAAACAAACAGCAAAAAAAAATAAAAATAAAAGATAGAGTAGAATTAGTTCTCAGTATTTGAGTGCATTACTGGGCTCAGGGGCAGGACTGAGGGTTTGGAGATCACATCAGCTGGGTTATCACAGACGAGAGCACTCAGCTTCCTCAGGCACTCCCAGGGGCCGCAGGAACACTCCAAGGCTGGGGGAGCTGCTCAGTGCCCAGGCAGGTTCCCAGACCCCGCAGGGCACCCCTCACCTTCGTGCTGCCCGAGGAAGGTCAGAGGGGCCAATTTCAGGCAGTTCCTGCAAGGCAGCACAACCCACCACGGGAGCAGCAAAGGGCTCCGACTTCTCCTTAACAGCAGCTTCCCTAATCCTTAAAAAAGCCATCTGAGGAAATGGGATCCTTTGAAACAAGACAAACCCCAGCAAAGCATGAAGGCTTTACAACTTGACTAAATTACCTTTCTTACAGTTTCAGGAATTACATTCTGGCACGTTGCAAGTCTCCAGTATGTAATCCCCAAATGCAAACCTGATGAGAGAAGAGAATCAGGAGGGAAGAGTCACAGCAGCATATATTACCATTTTTTAAATAAAAACAAATAATTGGAAGACTTTACAGCGCAGCAAATGTACAAGCAGAAATGCCTGTACAAATTACAGAGCACTTAGGGAAGAGTTCTTTTCTGTTTTTAGGCATAACCCTGCTCTGCCAGCGGGCTGCAGCGGGGCTGCCCCGGGCTCTGTGCCCAGCACTGCCCCGGGCTCTGTGCCCGGCACTGCCCCGGGCTCTGTGCCCGGCTGTACCCAGCAGTGCCAGCCTGGCACAGCTCAGGGACAAACTCTGCACTGACGACCCTGCAGCAGCTCCAGTGCCAGCTCCGTGGGGCAGGATCCCCCCACAGCCTGGCAGGGGCTGGCAGGACCCCTGAGACCCCTGGCCCTGGCAGCTCTGGGGGACAAGGACGGGGCAGGAAAGCTCCGGGGACCGAGTGAGCAGCCCAGCACAGAGACTGAGCTTGGGTTTCATCCTGCCCCCGCAGCAGCTGCTGCTCCCAGGCTCCCAGGGCACGCTGTGCACGGGATTTACAGAGCAGCCCTGCCTCAGCACACACTATTTGTCTATTGAGTTGGACTCCGTGACAAGGACAAAACTATCTATTAGGAAACAAATTACAGTTATTTGGTACTTCTAAAAAACGGCTGGCTTTTAGAATCTCTTTGCCTTTTAATATTTAATGACCCAGATCAAGAACAGAACGCTCCCAGAGGAGCAGCCAGCTGGCAGGCAGCCCAGGGGAAAGAATTTTCTGGGATCATGGAGCACCTTCTGGAACAGCTGCATTTGGTGGGCTCTGGGAAACGAAACTTCTTTGGGTTTGGTTTCTGAACTGGAGCAAGCACAAAGCACATCGTGTGGGTAGCAGGAAGCATCTCCAGGAGCAGAGAGCAGGGCAGTGCCCTCGGGCAGAGCAGGCCCTGAGCTGCAGAGAAGGGCAGCACTGGCCTGGGGCCTCAGCACCCTCGCTAAGAGCTCACCCACAAACAGCACAAACCCCGCACGAGAAACCACCACCTCCACACCAAAACACATCTCCAAATGCACGGCAAAGAATTTATAGCCCAAAACTCTGGGGATTAAAGCATTACGGACTAAAAATATAATGGCTGAGAGCTGCTATTTCATCCAAAATGAGTGTTTGATTGCAGTTCCTGTAGGAGGAAGAAAGTGGGTTGTTACCCCCCGGGTCCTACAGCACTTGTTTCCCACCTGGTGCCACAACTGTTAATTCATCCTAGACATGGTGCAGGCTGCTGGAAGGCACCATGCTGTGTAAGAAAAGCGTGCACAGAGCAGGACTTCTGAGGAAGAACACTGCCTGGGAGCTTACCAAACTCTGGCTAGGAATGAGACACAGAAGGGACTTGACTCCCCATTGCAAAAGGCAACCAACATTCACCTGGATGACAAACTGCGCTGTAAAGCACAAGATAATTTAGTGATCTCAGATAATACCAGGACATTACTGTGACTTCCATACTAATAGGAGTACCAGGCTAAAGAAGTACTGCCATCAGCCTGGTCTGAAAGAAAACACAGAGCTTTAGGAAAGGCGGGGAAATTGAATTTTAAGGCTAACACAGTGATGTAGTACAATTACGATGTGCAATCACAGGTGCTCCAAAACTAATATAACAAATTTCTGATGCAAAAGGAATCTCATGTTCTGAGCTAAAAAGGTTGACAACTCCAGAAAAAAACTGCTCGATAAACCTAGCTCTTCTGCTTTTTCCTGCTGCAGAACACAAGTTGATTTTAAAAGCACAAGGTTTTCAAGGCCTGTTCTATACCAAAATTGGAGGCTTCTCCACCGTGTACTGCTTTGAAATGGCAGTAGTGGCATAATTACATTATCGATGTAACTTGCACTCTCGGAGGCCCAATCGTGTGAAACAAAGAGCCATTTACATAAATCTTTCACTAAATAGCAGGTTCTATTACCCAGTATTTAAACAGAAGTAGACTCAATTTCCTACACGTAACTGTGAAAGAAATAGCACTACAAGTCTGCAAGCGGATGTAACAGTGCCTGGGAGAGGCGAAGAGCCCCAGAACGCGAGTGGGCAGCCGGGCACAGCCCGGCACGGTCCGGCCCCGGTCCCGCTGCGGTCCGGGAGCTCCGGCGGCAGCGCAGCCCCGTGGCCCGGCCGGGCACGGGCAGGAGCCCGGGCGGCCCGAGAGCCCCGGGCCCGCTAACCCCGGCCCGGCCCGGCCCGGCCCGGCCCTCCGCACGCCGCTGTCCCGGTGTCCCCCGGTACTGCTGCTCCCGCTGTTCCTTCTGTCCCCGCTGTCCCTCTGTACTGCTGCTCCCGCTGTCCCGGTGTCTCTCTGTGTCTCTATTCCCGCTGTCCCGATGTCCCGATGTCGCTGTCCCCGCTGTCCCGGTGTCTCTCTGTGTCTCTATTCCCGCTGTCCCGATGTCGCTGTCCCCGCTGTCCCGGTGTCTCTCTATCTCTGTCCCGCTGTCCCCGCTGTCCCCGCGGTCCCCCGGCACCTCTCGGGCAGTGGCGCCACCGTGTGGCCGTCCCGCAGCGCCCGCGGGGGGACCCGGCCTGAACCTGCGCGGGGACCCGGGAGAGACCCGGGAGAGACCCGGGAGAGAGAGAGAGCCCGGGAGAGACCCGGGAGAGTCCCGGGAGAGACACGGGAGAGACCCGGGAGAGACCCGGGAGAGACCCGGGAGAGTCCCGGGAGAGACCCGGGAGAGACGCGGGAGAGACCCGGGAGAGTCCCGGGAGTGACCCCGGGAGCGACACCTGAAGGGACACCCCCGGGCTCAGGGATCCCCAGCCCGCAGCAGTGCCCAGCCCCACACGCCATCCCTCGGACTGCCAAAGCCTGGGAAACAGGGACAGGTAACACACGCTTCTCTTAAAATCCTCAATGAGCTCCTGCAATAAATTCCTTTCCAGAATTATTTGCTTATTTCAAGGACTTTTCTCCTCCATCACACTGACTGGACCTAAAGCAACCACAAAACTGACTTTGCCTGTAACCCATCCGTAGGTCCAAATTATTTTTCCCGCCCCACTGTTGGCTTCAAGTGTTTCCAGAATCCCTCAGCACCTCAGCATGGGGGTCCCAGTGGCTCCAGGGCCATCCCTCGCACTGCTCCAAGCAGAACCAGCCGTTTCCCACTTGTAAAAACCCAGCAGATAAAACCACACCAATAATTTCTGTGCTCTGGCCCATCACCCAGCAGATGCATGGACTGTTTCCCACTAACAGCCCCGGGCAGAAGGGGTTGCCTTGGCCATTATTTGAATGCAGGCAGTTCAGACCCCACGTACCTTTGCTGGCTGCAGCATGTGCCATCCTTTCCAGCAGGTACCAGCGGCGTTTCTCAGAAGTTGCTGCAGGGGGATCACTGGGCTGCACAGAGTTCTGCAGCACAGAGACTCGCTGCAGCTCACACAGAGCAGTTTGTATAAAATCAAAAGATTTCAAAGCAATGAGGGGCTGGGTTTACATGCAGATCAAATGTAGCCCACATAAAATGACAGCCTCAAAGACTTGCAAAAATAATAATGTTTAAATTCATAAATATTCCAATTTTTTCTTTTTTAACTGCAGGGAAATAAGGCAGTGATATTGCAAATTCAGCCAAAGCTTTCCAGATTCCTCCACTTGTTTTCTGCTTTGGAAGGGTGGTGGCTGTGGATAAATGTAAATTAAAAACCCACTGCACAGATTAGTCACTGTGATAAAGATTGATAAATACAAAACCCTTTCACATACGAACATGCATATTTCAAATACAGATCAATTCATCACATTTGAACTAAGTGCTTCGTTCCCAGGTCATGGACTCACTTTAAAACACACCCTGCGATCATTTAAAGGCCACCCAAAAAATCCCAAACCCAACAGGGGCTTTCCACTGTCCAAGGGACCCCTGTGCTCCATCCCCACGGACCACAAGTTGCAGCTGATACACAAAATGCCCCAGCTGAGGCCACACGTGAGATTTCTGTGGGCCAGGAGATGTCTCGGCACTAATGTGGCCTTGAAGAACCCCGGCAGCTTTGGCTCCTCTCTCTCTGAGAGCTTCTCTGGTCACACCTTCCCACCCTGACTTGCAGCACAGCAACATTCCAGGGCTCCACCTGCAGAGTCACAACAGAGGGAAGCAGGGCAGGAGCCTCGAGTCAGCTGTAACCAAGGCATTTATTAGTAACTCTGGGAATCCCCTCTTCAGTGCTGGGTTAGAGCCCTGCAACCCTGCTGCCGCCTACAAACAAGGATTATTTACCTCCAGCCCTGCTGCTGCCAGCCCCACGCTCAGCCCAGCCGCCCTTCCCAGCACACACGGACCGGGAACTGGGGACACAATTCCCTCTGCACCTCTGCCTGGGCTCAAACGCTCCACAGCAAAGAGCACTGACCCCGCTTCTCCTTCCACCCTGAGCTGCCCAGCACTCAGGAAAGGCAGCGAGAGGCGGCCCTGACTCCTCTTTTCCAAGTTTGCTCCAAGTTTTCCCACGTTTTTCAGAGCACATCCATCGGCTCGCCATGGTGTGGCAGCCAACAGTCAGTGAATGAGTCTGCCAGAGACACAGCTCTGGAGCTCTGGAGCTCTGCAGCAGGGCAGGAGAAGAAATGGTTGCTTTTCTGCTCTTGGGTTTTTCTTTAGAGAAACCCTTAAATGCCTTTTCGTGTGCTCCTGTTCCAAGGCAAACAAGAACACCTTGAAAGTTAACAAAAACCACGAGAAACAGACTCCAGAGCAAGCATCTTTGCCTGTACTTACTGTTCAAAGTCCTGGTAGTTGCAGGGATATCTGGGTTTTTCCTTTGTAAAAGAGTATTATACACAGGTCAGTTTGGGTTTTGGTACAGGGCACACCACCACTCCAGGGGTCTGTTTCTATTATTGAGCCATTAAATACCATAAAAATAATAGGTGCTCAAATAAACCAAAACCACATTTTTTAGAGATTCCTGTATTGCATCCACCATTCTCCTCAGAGACACTTCAGCTGACCCTGCTGAGATCACATGCAGAAGCCTGGTGAGTTCAGCAAGTCCAGTGTCATCTTTCCAGGCTTTCAGCAAACAGGAAAAACTTGTTATTTTTCAGCAGAAGTGCAACACGTCATCTTCCACTCCTACCCTGACCCATAAAGCAATCCAGTTTGCAAAGATCTGACAATTTTTGATAAAAGGCCACCCAGCAGAACTCACTGTCCAGCTCCCGGGATGGCAGCAGCAGGAGCCAGGCTGCCCAGGCAGGTCACGGTGGCACTGCCCGAGGCCAGCGGGTGTCTCAGCTCTGCCCACCAGGGCTGGGCCATGCCAGAGCCAGATCTGTGCTGCTGAGCTGGTGACAGAGCCAGGCTGGAGCAGGGCAGGACCAGGAGCTGCTGACAGAGCCAGGCTGGAGCCCAGCAGAGCCAGGAGCTGCTGACAGAGCCAGGAGCTGCTGACAGAGCCAGGAGCTGCTGACAGAGCCAGGCTGGAGCAGGGCAGTGCTGGGGCTCACCTTGTGCCACCAGCCCAGAGGGGATGGAGGGAGGGATGGGGGGCTCCGAATGCAGCAGAAATAACCACCAACATGCGACCAGTACCCCATTGTCTCGGCACTCAGCTCACCAGGATGCTGTAGGGCATTTCAACTTTTGCCATGTGAAATAAGAGCATTTATTGGGTAAGTCAAGTCTGCGAATTACCAAAACCAAAAGGAGTACAGTGGAAGCCGGGGAAGCAAATCCCTGCTCTGCTTGGTCCACACTCCCCAGGACACTGGAGCCCCTGGGATGGGACTGAGCAAGGGCAGAGCTCAGCTCCTGGCTGCAGGCATCGGCCCTGTGACATCTCCACATGATGGGAACAGTTGACACAGCCAGGAGGAGTGACAGTGGTTGAGAAACATTATAATTACCAAAGAACAATAAATATTGATTTTACAAGTGCATATTTGTGTCTAGTTTTATTGTAAACACTATCAGGCAATTTTGCCTGGTTATTTTTTTCTTATCTTAAGCCAGCAAACTCTCCAGCAAGCCCAACAAACTGAGACCAAACAGGTCACATTTGAGGGAAGGGATCTGCCTGACAGCAATTTCTGATTTGGGAAGCCTCACCTGTCCTCAGTGATACCCCAAGGACAACATTTTTTGACATTGCAGATACTGATATGATGAATGAAGCCAATCAAGCATCTCCTGTAGATTGATGCGCTTTTAAAAAAAGAAACCCTCAGTACCCACAGCACCATGTCAGCAGAAGACGTGTGGACGTGTAGGAGCTAGAGCAGTATTGTTTTGAATCGTTTCAGTGTTGCAGAGAAACCTTGTAACCTAGCACAGGAAAGAGAAACTTGGCCATAAATTACCCTGCCTGGTCCTGCAGCCTCAGCGTGAAGCACACGTGAGCAGCCTGTGTCTCCCCGGGGTCTCAGAGGTAATATGGGAGTTAAGGCTGCACTGACATCACTCCCAAATAGAAAAGGTAATAAGTTAGTGCTTTAGAGAAAAAATAGCACTTTCCCTGTTTGCCTCAGGCTCTCACAGCACAGCCCCTGTGCTCTGTGCACCAGTGGCAGCCTGCAAAGAATCCCCATCGTTGCTTCATCTCACTAATTAGAGTTTACCTGCTGTATATTACAACACAGGATTAGCGTTAAGCAAGAGCTGTCCTGCTCACCCTCAGCCTGGTCCTGAGAAGTGCTGAGCAGCATTCAGGGGAGTTTCAATTCAGCCCTTCCTTGTAGGGAGGCTAAAACTTAATAACTTCTATTTAGAATAATAAATTCACATACATTTTTTAAATCCTCCAGGTTTGGGAAGGGTTTTCAATTCCCCCCATAAATCAGACCCCAAAGGAATCCCTGTGTCAGTAAAGCAGGTGTCAGATCAGCAAAACCTCGGGAAATGCCCGAGACCCTGCAGGTTTCAGAGAGAGAACGGCAGCGGCAGTGCCATTGCTGGTGTTCAGCAAGTTAAACCCAGAGGGGCACTGCTGGGACAAAGGGAGCACAGACCTGGGCTGGAATGCACTGGGACCAGTAAGGACTGTGCACCTGCACTAGGACCAGTAAGGACTGTGCACCTGCACTGGTACAGACTGGTACCGGCACCCCTGGGCACCTTCCCCGATGCAGCTGGGGTCAGGCACCGGGGTCGGTCAGGGACCCGCTGCCCCTGCCCACCCAGCCTCAGCCCCGGTGAGATGTGCCCAGCGCCTTTCCCAGCGCGGCCCCGGGCTCAGGCAGCGCACACCCGGCACGGCTGCTGCCCGCTCTGGTCGCACGCCGGGCACCGCAGCGCCCGGTAGGACTCCCGGAATCGGTTTGCCAGCATGGAGAACTTGCTTCCGTGGCACAGCGAGCAGGGAGCGCAGCCCGAGCCTCTGCACTGTGAGCAGCCGCCTCCAGCATCGCCCTCCTGAAGCAGAGAGCAGAAAAGGATTTGTTAGAGAGTGCGAGATATCAAAGTCAGGAGCATTCTTGAAACTCCCTCTCCTGGTCTTTGCCATCGTGGTTGCCCCGACACACCACTCTGCCTATGACAATCAGTTCTCCACAGCAAGGACTTGGACAAAAGGGCTCCCACATGCTTGGGGACAATTTGTGGCAACTACTAGAAAATGAGAAGTTAATGTCACTGGGCTTACAACACAATACTCCAAACTCATCTTTCTCCTCTGCACAGCTTCACCCATGCCCTTGTCATTTCTTATCACACCAGTTCCCCTCTGTAGCCTCAGGTTTGAGCCACGCTTCATTTCTTCAGGGATTGCTCCTTACCCTCTCTCCCCAAATCCCTCATCATGCACACTTTCTTTTGAGCTGTCCTTTGTGCCTGCCTCTCTCCCACCGTTCCAGGCAGCCTCTTTCAAATCCCACCCTGAAATTCCTGGGAGCAGAAGGACCGCTGTGACCCACAGGCCAGACTCAGTTCCACGAAACTGTATCAGCTCCACATGACAATACTGGGGTTTGTGGGATCAAATCATGGTCAGACTAATTGGGATTCTGACCAACAAAGACTCCCCCGTGAGAAAGCAAATGTGAGGCACAACCTTATTGCAGCTGATACCAAAATTTGAGCCTGAAGCAGTCTCAGCCACAGAGCAGCTGTGTTTAGCCTTGTCAGGCTGGAGAAACTCTGGCCTGCTCTTATCCCATGGGATGGAGCCCAGCCAAGCTCTGCAGGTGCCAGCCACCTCCCGGGGAAGCACCCAGGGGGAGACACGAGCGCCTGGAGGCAGCACTGCTGTCCCCAGAGCAGGGTCTCAGCACAGTGTTGCTCGTTATCTCCTGAGGGAAACGAGGAGCAGAGTGGTGCTTTTTATCCAGACTTAGCTAGGAGCCAGAGACAGAGGTGGATGGGGCACGGGTGGTTTGACCAGGGTTAAGGGGAAAAAGCACTTTTCATTTTCTCTTACCTGCACATGCTGGTTGCAAGTGACCTTATTCTCCACATCTTTTTTATGACCACCACTAAATAGCTCTTTCTTCTCCCGGTACACGAACGTCCAGTCATTTGTTCCTTCAGTCTGGATGATTCTTCTCATGAGCTCTTTCTGGCCCATCGGTGCACGGATGATTTTCAGGTTATTGGTGTAGATTATGATCTTGCCAAAATCTACAACTGGGGAAGTCTGAAGAAAGAATTTGCCAGTGTCTCACTAGTATAAATTCACTCTGCAAACACTGATGGTCCCTACTTCCAGAAGAGTGTCCCCTCCACCAGGCCAGCTCCCCTGACCACCCCCAGAGCATCCAGCAAATTGGTGGAGGTACAGCCCTACTGGGTAAATTTGTATTTTTTTCTAGTCATTTTAAAGCTAAACTTGGTCAAACCTTTCCCTGAGAGCAGCACTTTGCTGACCTGGTCCCTCCTCCCTGGGTGTCATATGGAGTTACTGGGGCCTATTGTTTTACACACTCTTCATATTTCACTCTGTCTGTGTCAAGAGGCCATGCAAAGGGAGATGTTCCCCTAACAAAGGCCCCAAGTCACACCAGCTGCCCTGAGGAGGCTGGTGCTCTCCTGGCAGTGGGGCAGCTGCTTCCCTGTGGGGAGAAGCACAAGGGAGAGGCGGGTGAGCACAAGTCCTGCCCACCTGCAGAAGGTGAGAGCCTCGTGTGTGTTACACAGCGTCTCCAAGCACCCAGTGCAGGCTGCTGCAACACAAGCTGCTTCTGGACACTGTGCTCACTCCAGGTATCTGTGGCTGGGGACAGGGGGGAGGGAGAGGAGCAGTTACCCAGGAATGCAAAGCAAATTAACGGGCTGGATAAGATCACAGTAGTGCACTGTCTTTGGGCAGGAGAGATTCATCGTGGCCTGATGTTTTCAGGCAAACTGCATGTCCAGTGTGTCAGCAGGTCAAATATCAGCCACCTGGGTTTCCCACGCACAGCTTTGGTGAGCACCAGGAATTAACAGACTTTCAGTGTGCTCAAATCCAGGCCATAAAAAGTATTTACACATATTGTGCATGTACTGCCTCTTTATGAGGACTAAAGAAGCACTTCTCTGTCAGTGGCATTAATTATATGTTAAGTAAATAGCCAGTGAAACTAAGCTGGGATTGTCCAAGTAGCCAAAGATTAATTCTGGCTGCCAGAGGATGCAGACACCTGGCACCCTGATGGCAGCACTGCCAGCCAAAGTCACACAAGTTTAATATTTTAAATATATCTAATTAACATCCTCCTTACATTTGACTGATCTGGATGCAGTAGGATTCCCATGTACAGATATCAATATCTATGGAAACATTCTCTTTACCCAATGGACAAATGCAGCCCAGGACCAGGAGAAGCCAGAGCACAGCTGGAGCACAGCTGGCAGATGCTGCCCCGCCTGCAGACCCCGAGGATCCTGGCCCGCGTGGATATTCCGCACACGGAACGCCTGGAACAAGGGCTGGAGAGCCACGGCCACCCTTTGCAAGCCCTGGCCTGATGAAGTTTTACGTGGCCGAGGCTGCACGAGGCTCTGGCAGCGCGTTCCCCGGCAGGATTCGGCCCAGGGCCGTGCCCGAGCTGGGCAGCCGCGGGCAGCTCTTACCTGTAGGGATGGCTGAGCCATCGGGAATCTCCTGCCAGGCAATCACATTTCTCCATCCCTCCCAGCACTTACCCTGCAGGGGCTGGCGCCGGGCTGGCAGTCGCCGGGCAGGGCTGCGGTGCCCGCCAGCCCGTGTGCGGGGTCCTGGCGCAGGACGCTGATCCTGCGGGCGGTCAGGGCCGTGGGCCAGCGGAACGTGTTCTCCAGCAGCTGCCCCGGCTCCAGGGGCTCCCCCGGCTCCAGGCTGTGGCGCAGGAAGCGCCGCGAGTGCTCCTTGGCCGGGGGCTCCAGCTCCTGCCCGTCTTCGTAGACCTGCTTCAGCACCCGCCCGCTGCCAGCCGAGGAGATTCGGAACCTCACCTTGCGGGGCCGTCCCTCCTGCCGCTGGCTGAGCTTCTTCTGGGGCTCATCCATCACCGGAGTCCAAACTGCAGGGGCTGGAGACCAGCTCCAAAAGCTTTGGGTCCAAAAGAAAACACTTCCAGCCTCCCCCTGCCACACGATGTATAATTCAAGGTTTCTAGCAGTTCCTCTCATCTTACAGCAAAACTGACACCGCTGCATTAAAAATTGATAGAAATTCACAAAGAGAAAATACCACCGGTACTGAAGTCAAAAGCAGGTTGGTGAGCAGGGGCCAGGCTGGACCACTGGAAGAAAGGAGTTAACCTGGAAGGAGAGGATTAAATATCATGTTTCTGAAACCATGGAGATGTTTCTGCCATGTGCTGTGATAAAAACTACCCCAAATACATCATCCCAGTAGCTTTTCATAATTTTCTGACAAGGTCAAAAGTTAAAAAGACAAAATGAAAGAAAAAGCAATCCAGCCTCACAAATTGCAAATGTGACTAATTCTTCTCCCATTCTTACACTGAAACCCTGACAGCACAAAGCTCAGTTTCATTTTAATCTAATGTGCTCCTCTGCAGGTTGTGAGATCTAATTAAGATAGTCTCTCATTAGTGCTCAATCCCTATTTGTAATTCCTGATGCCTTTTAGGGCCTTTTGGACCATTCTAGGTTTGGTTTTCATTTTAGGAGACAGTCACTCATGCAGCCCCAGCTGAGGGATTTCCTTTGCCCAGCACTGCCAAACCTCCATGTCTGGGCAGCCGTTGGCACCAGGCAGGTTCTGGGACAGTCCAACCCCAGAGATCCCACCCGTCCCATCCCCAGAGATCCCACCCGTCCCATCCATCCCACCCCCAGAGATCCCAGCCGTCCTCCAAAGCTGGTACCCCACTGCCCTGGTCTCTGTCACAGAGGCTTTGGTTCCTCTGCCCGTCCCTGCCTGGGCATCTTGAGCTCCTCTGACCTTTCGAGGCGTAAAATAAAGTGGTACAAAACACATTTACAGGTCACTGGGTTTTAAATATCACTCAACACCTACCTGAATCATGTAGGTCCCCAACAGGAGTTAAAACCTCTTTTTTTTTGAGTTCCAAGACTTTAGTACACATCCACCATTACACTCAAGGGGGACTGCCTTGGCAGGACGTAGGCAGAGAGCTTCATTTAACTTCTTTTAATTCAAACCCAGCACTGTTCAAGCTTAATGCTCTCAATAGGTTAATTCATTATGTCTTTTAAACGTTTGTTAATGAAATCCTAGGATGACACTTTAGCGGCTGCCTGCTAATAACTCCACTGCACAGACCTTCCACTGGCCAAAGAGCTGCACAGGCAGTTTCTGTCATGACAGACACGGCTCTGAGGGTCCCTTGGGCTGCTGGAAGCCTCATCACAAGGACACGTAGAAAATGTTTCCTGCACCAAGGGAACAGGCCTGAACAGGCCGGGAAAGCACACAGCCCCGGAGCCGCCCTCGGCATCGCCGCAGCACCACTGCAGCGCTGCTGCCAGCTCCATCCTGCCTCACTTTGTAGGAAAACTCGGATTTGCATGAGCCACGCTCAGCTCCTGCTGCGTTCCCTTGGGAAGCCTGAGCCGCCCTTCCCCTGTGAGCCCTGCTGAACCCAGCCTCGGAACTGCTGAGCTCAAAGGGTGCCCAGCGGCCACGATCTGACACAAATCGCACTGAGATACCTCAAGTGAGTTCGCTCTCTTTTGATTACGGGAACAATCAGACAGGAAAGGAAGTTCAAAGCAGCAATGAGAGACCAGAGCAGCAGCACTGGCGGCTGTGCAGTTACTCGCAGGTGCTGCCACAGCTCGGATCCAGAGTGGAGCAGCCCAAGTGGAGTGGAGTGCCTGCAGGGTCCCCGGCACGGCCAGCCCGGGTACCTCCCGCAGCCACACTCCCCATGTCACCCCACACAGGACACAGAGGCGGCCCCTCGCCCCTCACTGCAGAGCCACACGCTCCTTTATGTCCGTGTGCTGCTGACTCCACAAAGAAAAGCTCCCCAAGGGCCATTCTGCATTTCTGGGCTGTTCTGAGCACCTCCAGTCCATGCTCCCACATTAAACACCCAAACGGGGACTTTCGGGTGGTGTTTGGTGAGGCCATCCCCGGCCAAACACCACCCGTGACCCCGGGTGCAGGGGGCTGGCACGGGTGGGTGCGGGACAGGGGAGCCCCCGCCACCCGCACATCCCGCGGCTCTGGGGCTAGCGGGGGTTTGTTTCCCACAGCCCACACGAGCCTTACTAAAAATGCAACAAAAATAATTCAGCATTCAACAGTGAAATCATTAAGTTGCACGACCTAGATCATCACAGCGCTATATTTGACTTCAGACTGTTGCGCTGCATTTCAATGACATCTGTCTTCCAAGCGTGGGGCCTGTCCTCCCCCCGCAGCAGGGGAGGACGGGGCAGCCGCAGGCTCTGCAGAACAAAGAGCCAGCCCTTGCCCCGAGCAGCACAGGGCTGCACTGGAGCTGCTGCAGCAGAGCTGGGGCTGTACAAAGCAGGGTTGAAAGCACAGCCACAGGGAGCTGGGCTTTGAAGGCGTTTTCCCACCTGCAGGTCTTGCTGGAAAACGCTTTGTTGTGCTGTCTCCCTCACAGCAAGCCCTGCTGCCCTCCTTGCTCTGCACAGGGAGCAGGGTGAGGGTGAGCATCAGGCTATCTGCAGCAGTGCCCTGCACATCACCGCGGTGCCAGGACACCAGGGATGTTTCCCAACGCGCCTGTGACACAGAGAGCAAGGCCTGGGACGGATCCACCGGCAGCCGGCACAGCACCACTCCCTGTGGCCTGGCAGCCTGCACCTGGATTTCAAGATTCCTTGTGCCAGGAGATACTGACATCTGCAGCTAGAAGTGAACCACAAAAATATAAGTATTCTGCTAGCTACTGCTCAGGAGTTTCCTATTCAGCAGCACGGAGACAGTCTCAGCTGACACTTTTGTACAAACCATGAGCCAAGACAAAGGTCTGCTTCCAGCTGTCTCCAACTGATATCGTCCAGCAGCTCAGAACATCTGTAATCTTTTACCTGAAATTAAACAACACATTTTTTTTAAATGAACAGTTTTTAAAAGGTGTAGAATCTTTAAAATATGAGCTGCCCCAGCCAGACCCGACAGGTCATACAGTGCTCAGGGCTGGCTGTGCCATGTTCAGGGTTTGGTTTGGAATCCCCAGGGTGGGAGGGACCTCAGGGGTACCTAATGCAGCACAACCCCCCAAAACCAGCCTGGTCAGTGTTCCAGCTCCGACTGAATTTGAGTGTCATTAGCAGGAAACAGGCACAAAAGCAGCTCACAGGAGCTGCAGTGGGTGGCACCTGCACAGCAGCCCTAACACCACTATTTCCAAACCATGGAAATTGCAGCATTGGCTCAGGTGTAAGCTCTGACGTTCAGATCAGGAGACACTAAAGTCTGTCTCCAGGGGAAGCAACCTGACCCACACCAAGTGCTTTTGGCATTCCTGGCCATCATCATCCTCTGCCAGGGACTTACATAAACATGCTTGTAGCACTGGCCAGGTGGCTGATTCCTGCTGCGAAACACAGGGGCAGGCACAGATCCTGTGCAAACTCCAAGGAGCTGAAGCAGGAGTTTTCTTCCCTCCCAGCCAGAGCACAGCCCTGGCTCCCACAGCCAAGGAGTTGCTTAGCTCCTGCAGAGGGAGGGAGGGTGGGTACACCCCAGCACGCCCACTCTCCGGGCTGGGGGTGCTCGGTGTGTCCCACTCCCCCAGAGCTGCTCTTGCACTCGCCCTGAGCTCCTGCAGCCATTGGCAGTCAGGAGCTGATTTCTCACTGTCAGCCCTGGACCAGCAACCCACCACTGGCCTTCCCAAACGTCCCTCTGGTATCCCAATTCTGGGGGGGACACGGCAGCGGTGGAGCAAACATCTACCATCTTCTCGGGAGTCCTGAGCTAAGGAGTAATGTCACGCTGCATCACCTGCCTTCCTGAAGGGGCTGACAGGGCTTCCTTTTGTGCTCAGCCTCCTGCTTTCACAAAAACGCCGAAGTCACAGGCTGTTTAAAATTCTGGATGCTTTAACGCTCCACTGAGCTGGATTCGGGAGTCTCGAGGGTGCACAGACACAGAGCCACACGCACACACCTTCACACTCCACCGGGAGCACCCACGGGACTCCATTTTCCAGGAATCCAAGCTAAGGAGGTTTCCCTGCGCTGGCAGAAGGCAGGGCCGCTGCACATTCCTGGAGGCTGAAGTCAGCAGGAGCAGAGGACGCACAGCACCTCCGGGAGAGCAGGCAGGCTCCGTGATGAAAGCCAGCTTTCTCTGCACCTACCTAGGTAAGCACAAAAATCCTGAAGTCACAAAGAAACAAAGGAGAAAACAGGAAAAAGAACTTCAAAGAGGGAAATTCCCAGGTGCTGAGTTTTATCTATGGACACAACCCTCCCCGGGCTCCTCCTGAGAGCAGCAGCACAGCCTGGGACCAGAGCCCAGGAGAACACGAGTGCAGTGGGCAAGGAACAGCCTGGGCACTGGCCAGGGCACAGGGCACTGCCCACCCGGGAGCACCCAGAACAGGGAATTGGCACTGGATAAACCCACCTGGTGATGGAAGCGAGCCCCTGAGAGCACTGCTCTGCCCTGCAGACGTGGGACTGCTCTGCCAGCACCGGGGAGCTCCACCAGAAGGGCTCGAGCCCCCTGCGTGCTCTCTGTGGGCCCATGACCAGCTTGGTGCTGCTCCCCAGACCTCCTCCTGCAGGCAGCTCTGCTCTGCCAGCAGGAGCTGTGGCAGAAACCAACTCAAACTCAGCCCCCGGCTCACAACGTGCCCAGGGCAAGCAGCTGAGCCAGTGTGTCTCCCACTCAGCAAAGCAGCAGCACCCCTGCAGTGCCTTGGTCAATGCTCACCGCTCCAAGCTGCCCCTCCTGCACTGCAGCATCCTCTCCTAGCGCTGGGGGCTCCAGAGCAGCAGGATTTATAGCCTGCTCCTGGCTGCAGCAGTCACTGGTGGCCAGGAGCACCTGGGAGCAATGAAAGTGGTGCAGCCTTGCAAGCAGCAGGGCCATTTCCATGTGTTTAATTAGGTAACTGGAGCCTGAGGTTTCCTGCTGTCAAACCTACATAGACACAGCTTCTGAAGGCCTGTGTTCAGGTCCACACTACTTGAAAACCCTGAATTCTTGTCTTGGAGAATTAAAACTGCATCCCTGCAGGTTCAGCATGGATGGGGCAGACCCCAGAGAAGCAGAATGCTGTGCTTGGAGTTCCGTGGCTCTGCTCTGCGCTGCAGGGGAACAGGAGGAGTGTACCAGAACGCCCAGAGCTGCTGGGGGCACTGGGCACTGCCTGCTGAGGGGCCAGGGGCTCACGGGCAGCTTCAGCTCCCAGCGGAGCAGAGGGGTGCCACTGCCCCCCTGCCCCTGTGGGGCAGCTCCAGCCCTGGGCCGTGCAGCTCAGAGGTATCAGAGCCGGTTTTGTGTCTGCCCCACAGGCTCACAGGCCTGGTGTCAGCTTGAATCAGCCCCGTTCCATTCCTGCCAGGTGCAGGGACCAGGCTGCAGAGGAGGAAGAGGAGGAGGAGCAGAAGGAGGTGGCCTGGGTGACCCCAGTCACAGGAAGGACACGTCCATCCTCTCTCACTGTTGCTCAGCCTGGTTCCACCGCCAACTACTCCTAATGACACTTCAACAAACACACAACAATCTGTCTTCATGAAAATCAGTGAATAAATTTAATTTAAAAATACTTTTCTATTTCTGGACAGGCACCACTCTGCTCCAGCTACTTCAGAATCAGCTGAAGCCTTCCCAGTGCCCAACAGCCAGACTGCACAAGGCTGTAATGGCCAAACACAGCATTCAGCTCTCTGTGAGCTTAACAAACAGCTCCCCTAACCCCTCCTCTTCATGAAGTGTAGATGGGGTCTCAGTGTTCAGCTTCTGTCCTCCAGCTGCTGTGTGTGTACCTCAGGAAGGGGGAAAAAGGAAAAGAGAGCCTGAAACATGCAGGTGCCCGAGGTCTGTCCCTGCGGTGCCCCTCGGGCTACGGGTGGCACTGGGAGCAGGGCAGTGGCCGGGGCCGCTGCCCAGCACAGGACAGGACACCAGGCCTTGGTTTGAGAGCTGCTGCATTTTAGAGGCTCTCTCTCTGCTGGCTGCAGGTCCCAAAACTCTGCACATCCCTGCAGAGTCACACTGGCCTAATTACGTCTTCAGGCAAACCCAATTTATTCACTGAAGGTGCTGGGCTCTGCCATCGCACCGCCGTGCACTCAGAGCCCACGGCCGGCGGGCACTGCCCACAGGACCGGCCACCCGTGCCAGGAGGGCACTCCCACCCTGGCCCTTGGGGTCTGGAGACACAGGCAGGTCCTGCCATCCGCCCCTTTCGGCAGCAGCACTGGGCGCCGTGCTGGTGGGTGGGTAGGAGGGTGAGCTGCCAGCTCAGATCCATAATCTGTAGCAGCTTGTAAGAGGCACCCCCTCTCCCTGCCCTCCAGGAGCTAAAAACAGCCCGAAAGGTCTCTCTTCCCCCGGGAAGGAGGCATGTGGCACCCATTACATGGTGCAGAGTGGCTGAGGCTGTTTGTACGCTCTGGAGGTGCCGCTGTGCTGTGCCCTCGTGGCACACACGGCCCTGGCTGCAGCAGTGCTGCAGTGCCCGCTGAACCCTACGGCTCCTGTGGGGTGATGAGGACAAAGGGATCCATTGGAGCTGTTTTCTGGGTCAGTGCTGGAGCTGGGGGAGGCCAAAAGAGGCAGCCCTGGAGGGAGACGCGTGTGCAACCACTTGGCGTGGAAGCAAAGGTGGGCACGGTGCTCTCAGCGTTGTCTCCCGATTCCCCACTCCATGATAAACCTTTTTGAGTGACCCAGTCCTGTAACACATTTTTAGGGTTCCATCCCCTGGGAAGCTGCAGAGGGCTCTGGTGGAGCCGTGGGGCCATGCCTAGGCAGAGCCCTCTGCGGCAGCGGCACTGCCTGCAGCCCCAGAGCAGCGTCCTCCAGAGCAGGCACCCGCTGCATCCAGCCCCAGTTAATTACAGCATCGGCACCAGACACGGCCCAAATGAAAGGGAAGGATGAGCAGCTTTCTAGCTCGGCCTTTATTTTTTAACCCCAAGTAAGAGTCATGTTGGAAGAGAGGCGGTGACAGATAATAAAGTTCAATGGAATGGTCTGTGTGTGAAGTGGAAAACCAGGAAAGCCTCACATCCTGATCCCAAACTGGACATTGATGTGCTCTGTGGCCTCTGTCTCCTGGTTTTCTCCATGGGAGCTGGGGATTGGGGGATGCTTAATCTGAGGGCATTCCAGGGACAATTAGCTTTTGGGAAGTGCTTTGAAAATTTAACAAGTTGTGTAAATACAAATGTTAGCACAGAGAGCTTCTGTATTGCAACAGGACCAGAGAATGCAGCCCAGATCGGAGACTTGCTTGGCTGTTCTGGCAGCTCAGGGGGAGCTGCGGGTTGGAAAAGCCCTGACCCCCCCAGTGATCAGCACCCTGTGCCCCAGGCATGCAGGAAAGGCCAGAGTCACAGCCAGGCTCAGGGGAGCTTGCCCAGGGCATATCCCTGGGGGCATTCCAAGAGATGGAGAGCACAGGGGCTTCCTGCAACCACCCACATCACTGAAGACCCTCAGGCAGCCCCAGCCCCCTGATCCCCTGGGCCCCCCAAGTGTGCTCAGCACTGCTGGATTCCCCAGCCTGGCCCCTCCTGAGGTGACCAGGCACTCCAGCTGGGGCCGGTGGTTTCCCGTGGGAATTCTGCAGAACTGTGCGCTGCCCTGTGCATCCTCCAGCAGAGCCCCGCTACCGCCCGATGCTCTCAGAGTGCAGCTGATGCAGCCTGGAGCCAGCATGCAGAGAACCATCCACTCCACTTCTTTTCCAGCACCTCCCCACTGCAGGCTACTTCCCAATTCTGTTTCCTTTCTAATCTAACCATATGAAAATACAAACTGGTGTTAATCACAGAGCACAAACAGAGAAGAATATGTAAAAAAGAAAAACAACCTTCACCACCTTTTTTTCCAGTAGAGTTTATGTCAGGCATCGCATTTTGAGCCGCTGGCAGATGAGCTGGTGCTGCCTGCAGCATCACTCATTAAGCAGTGTGCACCCCACCAGCCCAGCACACATCCCACAGGACAGACTGCAGAGCAGCACCAAAGCAAAAGGAAACTTAAGATGGAACAGTGAGGTCACTGGTTCCTGGCATTATCCCGAAGATGTCTGTCAACATATCAGTTTAGCTAAAGGTCCACTATATTACAGAAATACAGACATATTTTGTTTTGATATAATCATGGTCTGGCGGGAAGAACTTTTGAAAAAACACATTAACCCTTTCCAGACTGTACTTCTGAAGAATCCTGAGAGTAGGGCAGGGACAGCTGTACCCTGATGGCATTATCTGAGACGTCTTTGGATTTACAGTCTTGCTCTCTAATATCTGTATTACTTTTATGTTAAAAACACAGGGCTAACACGGCAAGGTTTGTAAGAAAAATGGTCTTGGGCCTTAACTGCCCCTCCTGCTCTCCTTAAGCAATGCATCAGTATGTGCGAGCAGACGGACCCGAGATAGGAATTCAGCTGATAAAGGGAACGCAAATTACAGGTACCGAGCTGGTCCCTGGCCGTCCGTGCCGAAGTCCGCGCCTGGCGGGGCAGGAAGGGGCCCCTGGGACCGCTCTGGCTGTGCGGGCCTCGGGTCTCTCCGGGCTCGGCTCGGCCACGGGCGCTGCCCGCAGGGAGCAGCGGCTGCCCACGCTCAGCGCCCGGCCCCGGCAGCGGCCCATGGCCGGCCGGCCCGGAGCTGGGAGCACTGGGAGCTGCTGGGGCGCGGGGCCGGCACCGGGGGGACCAGAAGGCTGCGAGGGTCAGCCCGGCCGTGCTGGCGCTGTCCCGGTCCCGGTGCCCGTCCCACGGGGCGGGCGCTGGCGAGGGGCGCATCCCCGGGGCCGCGGGGCGGGAGCGCCGGGCGCGGGCAGCCGGGGCCGGAGCGGGTCTGGCACACGCCGCTCCCGCAGCAGGCCCGTGCCAGCCCCGGTGCCAGGGCTGCCCTGTGCCCTGGGCACATCGCGGCCGCTGCAGGCCCGGGCTTGAGCCCGCCGAGCGCCCGGCCTCAGCCCCGCGGCCGGGAGCCGAACAGGTTGGGCGGCTCCGGGCCGTGGGAGGAATAATCGCTTGGGGTTGATTCCGCGAGCTGAGGCGGCCAAACCGGGCGAGGATGGCACTGCGGAGCCACCCGCGGCATTGCCAGGTGGCCCCGGCGAGCTGAAGGAGTTTCTATAGAGCTGCGGCGGAGACGGGCACGGAGAGCCGGGCCGGCGGGGCGGCCGGAGCGGTGCTCGGGCTGCTGTTCATCAGGGACTCGATTGTTCCTGAGCTGCTGGATTGCTCCTGAGCCGCTGGATTGCTCCTGAGCCGCTGGATTGCTCCTGAGCAGCTGCATTGCTCCTGCCCTGCCAGCCCCGCCGCACGGAGCAGGACCGCCGCAGCCCGCCCTCGCTCCGCTGCCCCGGCCTGGCTCGGGACCCTCTGCCCGGCCGCAGGACCCGCGGCTCGGAGCCCGGCCCGGCCGCAGCCCGGAGCCTCCCCGGGCCCCAGCTGAGTCAGGAGTGACTCATTCCGAGCGGGCTGCCGAGTGAGTTCGCACATTGGCTGGGAGCGCGGCTCGGGGTGTAGGTGGCTGCGTTCCGCGCTCCAACAGCTCTGCTCCGCGCTCCCTCCTCCTCCTCGCCCTCCGCGCAGGATAGCTGCCCGAGCCGGGCTCTGCTGCTCCAGGAAGGCATCTCAGGCGGCTCCGGTGGATGCGGGCCGTGGATGGCCCCGGCTCCGCTCCCCAAGGGGCTCTGCGCTGAAGATGGATGACTTGGCTCTCCTTGACCTGTTGGAGTGTCCCGTGTGCTTTGAAAAGCTCGACGCCACAGCAAAGGTGCTGCCGTGCCAGCACACATTCTGCAAGCCCTGTCTGCAGAGGATCCTGAAATCCCAGAAGGAGCTGCGGTGCCCCGAGTGCAGGACCCTCGTCCTGGGCAGCATCGAGCAGCTGCCCTCCAACCTGCTCCTCATTCGCCTCCTGGATGGAGTCAGGTGTGGGCAAAACGTCACCAGGTTTGGCTCGGTCCAGAGGTCGGGGCTCCTGTCCTCCCCCGCCTCCATCAGGAGGGTCCCCAGGGGGCTGCAGCTGCACCAGCACCGGCTGGCAACGAATCCTCGGATCCACATGGAGGGGGTAAGGAGGTTCTCAGTTCTTTCCTCTGCCCATGAGCATAGAAAGGCTCCTGCTGTGTGCCCAGAGCCAGGAACGTTCTCTGTTAGCAGCACTGCTGAGTGTTGGAAGTGAGACTGAGTGTTTTGTGTGCAAATTTGGCTGCTATTTCGATGTGATATTTGACTGTTTCAAGCTCACCACAGCAGAAACTGGCTCCCAGGCTAAGGCAAAGCCAGCCTGCCCTTCTTACAAAAACTTCCCAGCAGGTCTTTTCTCCCAGAGTTTTCAGATGCTTCCTGGCTTTTGAGGGCATTTCAGGTGCTTGGACTTTCAGGCAACACGCTGCTTTTGACTGATAGCAATTAAGTCAGTAATTGCAGAGCTGTAACTGTTAGTGGTGGAGAAGGTATTTCCATAGCTGCACCTCAGTTTCTCTGCACTGGAAAAGAAGGGGGGGGGCTGTGCCCAATGCTGCTGCTGTTGTTCTCTCCAAAGTTCTTGGAAGTTCACCAGTTAAAGACATTAAATTGACTCATTTATGACTGTACCTAGGGATGACTTACTAGGCTAATTTTAAAATTCTACGTTGTTCTTTCCGTCATTTTCTTTAACAATACAGAAGCGTTTCTTGAATAATGAGGACGGGATAGTAGATCTGTTAAAAGAGCTTGGCTGAGTTGGAGTTTAGGGTAGAGACTTGTGGCTTCATCTTTCCCACGTTATATTCCTGGATTTCCACTTCTCTCACCTGAGCTGCTCTGTACAATGTCTCTAAAGGCTTTTACTAGCACTCAAAAGCTTGGCTGAAAGGGTTTAGAGCCCAGAGGCTGCCCAGGGCAGCTGTGGGGTCCGGGCAGGCACGGCGCAGGCGCTGTGCCCGCGCTGGAGCCCTGCAGGTGTTGCTGTGTCCTGTGGGTATGAGCTGGCACGTGTCTCCCAGGGAATCTCTGTGGTGCTGATGAGGGATCTGGACGGATCACACACCAAAACCAGGCGTGCCTCGGGTGCTCCCCTCCCGCTGTGCAGGCCTGAGCCCGAGGCACCAGGTCCTTTCCCGGGAGCACTCCTGGCACAGTCCAGCGGGGCACAGGGTGGGTGGCACTGCCCAGCCCGGACTCTGCTGGCTGCAGCCCCTGGGGCAGGGGCAGGGCAGAGTGAGCAGGTCCTTGGGCTCCAGGGGCTCCCTCGCAGGGCCCCTCTCTGAGCGAGCCCCCAGCCCTTCGGGGAGCTGCTGGGGCCGTTCTGCAAGGGACAAACCCTCCAACAGCCACGGCTTTCAGTCACTGCCATCCCCAGCAGCATTCCAGCTGACAAGGAGAAGGTTGCAGATTTTCCAGCTGGACTCTCCTGGCCCTAGATAAAAGAGCACAAATACACTTGTCTGGCTTTCTTCTCTCTCACTCGTTTCATGTTTCTTTAGCTGGTTCTCAGGACAGGCAGGAACTTACTGCTGGTATACGATGGCAACATCCATCCATCCATCCATAGCTCCCAAAAGCTTTTAAGACCAACTTAAGACCAAACTCCTGGAAATCAGCAGAGCCAGTGAGCACTGAGGGAGCTGTGGCTGACTCCCTGGCACTGGGACAGCCCTCTGAGCTCCTGTGCCTCTCTGGGAAGGGATATAAAACCCATTACACTGAAATACTCTTAGACTTAATTAGTTACTTAATTATAAAACACTTTGGAATCCTCTGCTGCAAGGTGAAGAATGCCCCGTATTAGTCACATTTTGGTTTTAGTGGTTTTAAATACCTGCATTCAGGCCCAGACGTTACTTTGGGTACTCCAGTGGGATGTTAATGGATTTGGAGCCTCCCCTGAGCTGGCACTCAGCTGGGTGACAGCAGTTGAAAGTGCCCGTGCACTGCAGAGATGAGACAGTGATGAGGGTGACTTGTCATCACCCTACCCCACGGATTGATTCCAGGGTCACCTGAAGGAGTCTGGGTGAGCAGAGACCTCCAGATGCTTGTGCACCTCAGAGCAGATTCTTTTTGTCAGGAATCAGTGAGAGCAGCTGCCCTGCAGCGCTGCTCAGCCCACCACAGCTCTCCCTGGGTACTCAGAATTGCATGTGCTGCTGCAGCAGCAGGTCAGGGCTCCCCAAAAACAGACTGCCCCAATCTGCAAGGGGTGCTAATTACCCCACTGCTATCCACCCCCTTGTGCTACAAAGCAAACACCACTGACGTGCCTCATACAGCTCTGCAGCCAGAGCCACCACCCAGCCAGGATGGGGGCCAGCCTTTGGTTTTACCAAGGCAGTTCTATAAATAAACTTCCTTTACTCCCTGGAGCTGAGAACATCGCAAGTTTGATCAAAGTTTCTCTCTCAGCAGAGATGTTTCCTTGCCAGCTCTTTGCTCTTCATGCTCATGAGCATCCATGAAGGCAAAAAATAAAATCAATCCCTCGTCACCCAGTGAGCCAAGAGCTCCTCTCCTTCAGAGCAGGAGGAGCGAGCAGGCCCCCACGGAGCCACTGGATTAGCACAAATACAGCCCTGGCTCTGCGGTCAGGAATTTCCCAGAGCCAGTTGTTAAAAACCAGGGAATTTTCTAATTACAGCCCATCCCAAGCGATTTATTTGCTGGCATTTAAATGCCTTTTGCATCCACTTCCTACGAGCTAACGTGGTGTGGGCACGTGCTGGGTTTGTGCACGTGGAGCCGTGAGCGGGGCCTGGCTGTGCCCCGAGCCCCACGGCCTCCCCATGGCTGCCCCATGGCTGCCCCACAGCTGCCCCACGACTGCCCCATGGCTGCTCCTCGGCTTCCCCTCAGCTGCCCCACAGCTGCCCCACGGCTGCCCCACGGCTGCCCCACAGCCACCCCACGGCTGCCCCACTGCTGCTCCTTGGCCAGGCCTTCAGAGCTTCAGCACCAGCGCAGGGAGCGCTGCATGAAGGATTTGCAGAATCTCACATAATAAACTGTCTGGAATTTAAGAATAAAGGGCCTTGCTGGGAGGTGTATGCATAAACGAGCCACGCTGGAGCCTTTGAACTCTTCGGAACCGCCCCTGGCATGTGCCAGGTGTGGTCACAGTTTGTGCCGAAGCTCCTCCTCACCTGGCGGCTGCCCAGCGTGAGCTGGTGAGCAAGCAGACCGTGTGTGCTGAGGTGTGCACGAACCTCCCACACCGCTTCAGGGGGGCAGGGTGACCCAGCTGCACCCTGCACACGGAAAAACTCCATCCAGGCACTCAACAGCTGCTTGGGTGCTGAACTTGGTCATGCAACAAACATGGGACAGTGAGCCACAGGAAAAAAGTTCCGAGTGTGACAGCTTGCCTTAGGAAAACACGGACCACGCAGATTTAAATGTGACTTGGGCTATTTTCTCTTTGCATGAACTGAGTGCTCAACACCCCCTTCCAGCATTTCATGGGAGATAGACAGATAACACCTCTATTGGGATAAAAATACCCTGCACTCCAACGTCCCACCTTCACACGGACGTCTATAGATAGTGCCTGCGTCTTGGTATTTTCTTCTCCTCCAGAGTCATCTCCAACTCCTTTCTGCCTTTGATAGACAGGACTTGGATTGCTGGAGCTTCTTGAATTCTTGTTCAAAGCAAACTCCATGTTTGCACCTGGCAGAGGCAAGTTTCCTGGCCCCTCAGTGAGCCAGCCCCCTTCCCACCCTCCCAGGACCCCCAGCAGTTCCTGCGTAGTCACAGCAGTGACCTCAAAACGTGTGTCCCATCCCCTCGGGCTGGCCGGGCGCTCTGGGGATGTCACACACCCGCGGGTGCTGCCAGGCCTGGGCTCTGCCTGAGGTGCTGGTGCCAGCTCCTTTCCCACAAGAGCATCCTCGCAGCTGCTGGGCTTGGCGGGGATGTGCCACAGAGCCCCTCAGCTGGAGATGCTTCATTTGGCCGCACAGTTCTGTGTGGTCTTACGGCCTTTCTGGAGGAAGGCTTTGTCCCAAATCTCCTCCTCCTGCGTGTTCCATCAGGGTTCGTCTCATCCTAGCAGAATGAGGAGCTGCTCCCACAGTGCTGCTGGCACCTTGTGCCGGGCACTGGTGAGTTTTCTCCCTCTGCATATAGTTTTAGCACTTTTATCTACTACAAAGAGAGTGAGGTCAACATAGGCTGATGGACAACACACAGCCCAAAAGCTGTGTGAGCAACAGAGCCAGCACAGGGCACTCCTGGGTGATACCTCTGGCTGTGGAAGCCCAAAGACCTCCATGGCCAACAGCAGGAGCCAGTTTCCCTGGTTTTACAAAATTAGGTACCGAGCTGCAAACACATAAAAGTGTTTTAATTTGTTTCCAAGGCAATGAGTCAGGCTCAGATGGCGAGTCAGGAATAGCACAGCAGGGCTCCTCTGCGAGCTCACCTGCACAGAGCCGTGGTCAGCCAGAGCCCAAAGTCTGAGTGCCCCCCTCCCATCCTGCTGCCTGCTGGCCGCTGTCCCTGGGTTGTGGTTTTCCCTGTGGAGAGAGGAGTGGGGAGGGGGCACGGTGCCCTGCAGCTCTGCAGTGTGCCAGGGCTGGAGGCACGGGCTCCCGAGGGATGGGCAGCTCTCCCTGCTGCCAGCTCCCCCGGCCTGCAGCGTGTCCGGCCCGGTGCCGCTGCCAGAGGCAGCCGCTTGTCCCAGGACTGGCAGCGCCGGCTGAGGAGCCACATCAGCGCTCCTTTCCCAGCACAGGGAGGGCACTGGAGCAGCAGGGAGAGGGCTCAGGAGCAGCAGGATGGAGCAGGATGCAGGTTTCCTCCCTGCACAATAAACAGCCGGTTCTGAGAGCAGCGCTGCTGAGGCAGAGCATCATGACCGGGCACGCCGAGGGCTGACACAGTTTGTTTTCCGTGCAGCTTAAGCCCATGACACACAACATAACCACTGCCCGGGCCTGCTGACGGCAGCACGGGCTCATCTGATAGAGCAGCAGCCAGCCAAGAGCTGCCAGAGGGTTTGGTGCACCTCTGCAGCCCCGGTGCCCACGTGCCCCTGCCTCGTCCTCCCTGTCCTCTGCAGAGCTGTCCTGCTCTCCTGTGCCCTGCACC